AACAGAAAGGAATGAAGAAATAAGAATTCAGAAAAATGAGGAGAAGCTTAGGAACCTCCAGGACATCTTTAAACGTTCCAACATCCGAATTATAGGGGGTACCAGAAGGGGGGAAAGGCACAACCACCAGTTGAAAAATTATTTGAACAAATAATAAAGGAGAATTTCCCCAAGATGGCAAAGGAAATAGACTTCCGAGAAATCCAGGGAGCTCAGAGAGTCCCAAAGAAGTTGGACTCAAGAAGGAACACACCAAGGCACATCATAATTACATTAGCCAAGATTAAAATGAAGGAGAGAATCCTAGAAGCAGCAAGAGCTAAGGGGACAGTCACCTACAAAGGAGTTCCCATCAGACTGTCAGCTGATTTCTCAAAAGAGACCTTACAGGCAAGAAGGGGCTGGAAAGAGGTATTCCAAGTCATGAAAACCAAAGATCTACAACCAAGATTGCTCTACCCAGCAAAACTTTCATTTAGAATGGAAGGACAGATAAAGTGCTTCTCAGATAAGACCAAATTCAAGGAGTTCATCATCACCAAGCCCTTATTATATGAAATGTTAAAGGGACTTACCTAAGAAAAAGAAGATAAAAAAGATGAACAGTGAAAGGACAGCAAACTCACAGTTATTAAGAACCACACCTAAAACAAAAGCAAACTAAGAGGATAGCTAGATCAGGAGCAGAACCATAGAAATGAAGATCTCATGGAGGGTTAGCAACAGGGGAGTGGGAGGAGGGGAAGGGGGGAGAAGGTACAGAAAATAAGTAGCATAGACAGTAGATAGAAAATAGATAGGGGGGAGGGTAAGAATAGTAGGGGAAATACAGAATCTAAAGAATTTGAGACACATGTTCATGAACTAAAGGGGGAAATGGTGGGGGAGGGGTATGCAGGGTGGAGGGGAAGGGAGGGGGGAATAGAGCAAATGTAATGGCATAATCAATAAAAAAAAAAAAAAAGAAACTGCTAAGTGCTGGTTCCTGCTCCCACCTCCCTCTCAAATTTTAAATAGAGGATCACACAAGAGAGTGATCAGCAGAAACTGATATGACCCTTTGAGGGGTCAACTTAATAATAATGTGAGGACAGCCCTGGCTGGTGTAGTTCAGTGGATTAAGCGCAGGCCTAGGAACCAAACAGTTGCAGTTCGATTCCCAGTCAGGGCACATGCCTGGGTTGCAGGCCAGTTCCCAGCAGGAGGCACACGAGAGGCAACCATACATTGATATTTCTCTCCCTCTCTCCTTCCCTTCCCCTCCCCTCTAAAGATAAATAAATAAAATATTAAAAAATAATAATAATAATGTGAGGACGTAAAAATGTTTGAACCCTTTGATTTTGCAATTCCATTAAAAAAAATCAGCCCTAAGAATTTAAATGAAAATACAGACACAGATGTTCACCACAGCATTATTTTTAACTATGAAAAAAATTGGAAATAGTCTCGTTTTTATGGGAATACTAAGTAAATGATGGTAAGTCTAAATGATGCACCTATTTAAATGCTTTTGAAAAAATTTTGATAATGTGAAAAAGTGCTCACACTGTATTATATTTTAGACAGCAATAACCAAAATTATAGTCAATTTGTTTTTTAAAAACATCCTGTATTAAGACAGGATGGGAAGAAAATGTGCCTAAACACTATCAGCAGTCATCTCTGAATTGTGGAATTATGGCTGATTTTTAAAAGCTCTTTATCCACACAGCATTACTGTGTGGATTATTCTGTAATGAACACATAGTAACACTTTTTGAATCTGAGTGTGTAATGAAAAAAAAATATGTCTCTTGTTAGGTAAATAATGTTAAAACCTGGGAGAAAGTGTGTATAATCATGTATGTATTCCTAGCCCCCATCTCACCATGTTCCAAGAAGGAGTTCTGAAGTAACTGCAGAGTATGTTCCAGAGAGACCTTAGGATCTCAACTGCAGCTGTTGTTACCTTCTGCAAGTGGGATGATGTTTATCTATATTGGATGATTTGCCAACATTTTTAAGGCTGGCAAGCCTGATTTGTCTGAGTTGATAGAACCGATATGGTTTCTTAAGTGAGACAGATATAGTCTTACAGGTTTTCTAAAGTGATTTCTCTTGGGAAGAGAAAGGATTGACAACCCCTTCTCGCCCTTGGAGTCCAGCTCAGGCGTTCTGTCCTTCAGGAAACTGCTGATACCCTCTCCCTCCCAGCCTGGGTTAGGTGTATTGCTTAGCTCTTTAGACATGCTGCTATCTCTGTACTTACTACACTGAGTGTAATGATTGGCTTTTGTGTCTGTCTTCCTCATCAAGCTGCACTCTTTCAAGGTGGATCCAGGTCTTGCTCAACTTTGTAGCCCAGACATCTGGTACATGATCAATTTGATGGTGAATATGTGAGGAACAAATGAAGGATGGTTAGGTTGTAGGAGATGGCAGGCTGGTGAGAGTGGAACTGGATTTGATGGCATGTCAGCAGGGCGGTTTGGCAGGTGATCACACTAGGCGGCCACGGGACCATATATCAGATTTTAGAGGTCAGATTCTCAGACGACTAAATGGCATACCAGGAAGGAAGGGAATGACAGGAATTTCTGCTGGTGAAAAGATTATTTCTCAAGTCTATGTTTTTCAAAGTCTGCCCTGAGGCTGCCAACATTATAACCACTGTATACTGATTTATACTGTATAACTGATTCCTTCTGAGTCAGAGTTTTTGGAGCTGGACTGAAGGAACCTGCCTTTGAAAAGCTTCCCAGGTGGTACCCTAAGGTGAGAGGGCCGCAGGAGTAGATGATTTAGTGCTAGAATCTGAGGACTTCGTGATCATTTGTTCCGCAGAACCTGCTACGTGTGATGTTTTGACCTACTGCAGCGAGCAGATGCAGGGCTCCGCCTCAGAGGTCACTGCTCACTAGGATCAGGGTGAATCCTGAGTGTACACGTAGTGCAGAAGTTGGTGTGAGCCCAGCAAGCTCCAAGTATATTTGGACATACCAAGTTGTCCTGTTTGACTGGGAATGCGAATTTTTCCATAGAAATTTATTAATATATTCAGAAACCCTCTAATTTGTTATATATTTTGATCAGTCTGTTATTTATTTACTCTATGTTCTAGGCATTGTGAAAAATGGGAAAATGAATTAGACATAGCTTTTATGTTTAAGGCTCTTAAAATTGGAAGAATAATATATGTGGAAATAATTGTAACAACAAGGCTTTCAGGTCTGCATGGTAGGGCCTTCTAGTAAGGACCTTAGAATGAGGAAGACCAGGATGAAGGGGAAAGAGCTGACATGAAGCCCCATCATTGTGTTCAAAGAATATAATTTTGGGGTCAGCCTCTGAAGGTCCCAAAGCGAGGGGTCAGGACATAGTTGCAAAAGAGAAAAAGAGGATGGACGAGAAAGAGAGAAAGGAACATCAACCCACCGCCCCACCCATCCATGACCCCCCACCCCACCCCACCATGCACTAGGACCAGGCTTCAAACCCAAAACCCTGGAGCACCTGGAATGATCCGACTAATTGAACTACCTGGCCAGGGCAGTTGCAGGATTTTGTATTTGTGCAGACACTAGCCAACAGGTAGAAGAGAGAATCATATGAGCTAGTGTAAGCAATACTGCACCAAGGAATAGTTAGAAACTGCATAAGGGGTCAGAGCTTTGACTGAAAAATAGATTCAGGGACAGGCTACAACCCTGGAAGGAAACTGGAGTGAGAACCAGGGACCCAAGTTGGAGGTCTTTGTCTAGACTGACCAAACACATTGGGGTGATAAACAGGAAGACTCGATTCATTGTTCCTGCAGACATCCGGGATTGTTCACACCAGGCCAAGGGCAGCAGACTACATCCTCACGAGAGGAAAACGGACAGAAATTGTGCCAGGCGAGGTCCTCATTGGTTTGGAGCTGGTGGGGCAGGGGCGGGGGAACTGCAGGTAGCAGGCTCTTTGTGCCTACACGTGTCTGGGGCCTCAACTGGAACAAACAGAAAGCAGTTCAAGTGAGAATGTGTTTTTTGCCTAAGAAAGGTAGTGATCCAGTTTGGCGTCAACAAAAGAGAAGTGGGAATCAGCATAAATTTCCAGGAGGGGTGAGAATTTGAAAAGAACTTGAGAAATCAGTGCTAAGAAAGGAAAATGAAACTTACTGGTCTGAGTTAACAAGGTCACTTCTGCAGCCCTTCTTATTATTAGGAATTATGTAGCAATTCATCAAAATCTTGGCCTAGTGACAGTGAAATATTTTCATTGTGCATATGCCATTGAATCCTGAAAATTTTTTAAAATCCTGAATGTATGCCATTTGATTTCAGTGACTTCTTTCCTTTATTTTAAATGTCAAGCATACAAAGAATTTGTTTTACAGTTCTCTGTATATGCATCTAGGTTGTTGCATTAATCAGTATTTCCCTCTTGCTGAATAGTATTTCACAGCATAGTTCTATCAGAGTTTGCTTAACCATTCACTGTGAAAGCCACCTGGGTTGTTTTAGTTTTGTATTATAATGAATAAAGCTGCCATAAACATTTATGTACAGATTGTGTGTGTGTGTGTGTGTGTGTGTGTGTGAACATAAAGAAATAAGTCTGCATTTCTCTGGGATAAATGCCCATGTGTGCAACTACTGGGTCGTTTTCCAAGGTGGCTGTACCCTTTTGCACTTCCAAGAGTAATGTATGAGTAATCTACTTTCTCCAAATCATCAATGACACTTGGCACTGTCTATAGTTTTTATTTGATAGTGTGAATAGGGTGAGATGGTATCTTGTGATTTTATTTTGCATTTCCCTAATGGCTAATGATGTTGAACATCCTTTCATGTCTTTATTTGCCATCCATTTATCTTTGTTGAAATGTCTCTTGTGTCTTTCGTCCATGGATTGTTTGCTATTTGGATTGTTTCTCTTTTACTGTTGAGTTTGTTGTTGTTTAATGTACAAAGACGTGGCTAGCATTGACTCTTTTGTCTGCTAGATGTTTCAATGACCCATTCAAAGAAGATCACTTAGTCTAACAGCATGAAGCCTATAACCTTGGTGTACTGATGTGAACACTGGCGGCACTTATTGAGGCTATATTTCCAGGTCAGATCATGCTGGTTTGAGCAGAGGTGGCAAGAATGAGAACCTTGGCTGAATTTTCACAAGTGGCTCTAGTAAAACTGCTGGCTACCTGTCTGGTTTTTATGGATAAAATTAAGGAAAGGCAGTGGCCAAGTGACTCAGTTGGTTGAACATTGTCCCATACACCAAAAGGATGCAGTTTCAATCCCCATTAGGGCACATACCTAGAGTGCAGGTTCAGTCCCCCATTGAGGCGTGTGTGATGTTTCTCTCTCACATCGGGGTTTCTCCCCTCTCTCTCCCTTCTCTTCTTCTCTCTCTAAAAATCAATAAAAAATATATCCTCAATTGAGAAAAATAGGCAAAAGGCTGTTGTTGAGTTTGAAGAATTTTTTTCTGTATTTTAGATACTTATTTTTTGTTATATATGTGCTTTGCAGATATTTTCTTCTAGTCTGTAGCTGTCTTTTCATCCTCTTAACAGGCCTTTTAAGGAGCAGAAGTTTTTAATTTTGATGAAGTAAAGCTTATCAGCTTATTTTTATGGATATTGCTTTTGGTTTCAAGTCTAAAACTCTTTGCCTAGTTCTATATCCCAAAGATTTTCTGCTATATTTTTCTTAAAGTTTTTATGATTTTACAATTTACATTTAACTCTATGATCCTGTCTGAGTCAATTCTTCAGGTTTTGTAAGACTGAGGTAAAGGTTCACTTTTTTGCCTATGGATGCCCAGCACCATTTGTGGAAAAGCCTGCTCTCGGCCTTTATGGTCAGAGTTTACCTAGATACCAAGAAGGGGAGCAAAGGGACTTAGACATTGGGCTCAGTAAACTGGGGAACGTGAGCCCGCTTGCTCCACCAGGAAGCTATAGCTTTCCAGAGCCCTGCTTTACCAAGGGGATTAACATGCCTCCTTTCCCCCACTCTTATACCAGATTGTTAGGGGGGCCCACAGGGTGGTGTTGGACCATAGAGACTTGTCAGTCTAACTAGCAGTGGGCCTATCAAAGCTCTCGTAGAAAAGCTTTGGTCTCACAGAAAATGATTAGTCATTTTGAGGAAAAACCATGTCTGCTCCAAACCCAAGCTAATATAATCCCAGATAAACAAAGAAGTGCTCTCTCTCTCTCTCTCTCTCTCTCTCTTCCCCCCACCCCACCCACTGATGCACCCATCTGGTCATTCGTGCACTCTCTTGCCTGGGAGCAGGTGACCACGTGGCTCTAGCAGATACCAGGCCTGCAGCAGACTACATGGGCTTCAAAAGGACTAATCTCTCTCTCTTGCTTACCTGGTGATGCTTCACTCCATGTGCTCATGTGCATTCTCTCAATGTGGTCACATGGCCTTGGAAGCCACATGGTCAGCAGCCATGTGGACTCCTCACCAGAGTAGCCATGAACAAGCTAAGCTATCTGGATGGGGACTGAGACTGCTTAGCAGCTGCCTGTGGGCACCTAAAGCCTAGCCTAGCCTATTAAAGGACTAGGCTTTAATATGAAGCAGAAACTCTGGACACTGGCCTTTGCTTTGGCCTTCCTGAGGACAAGGTTGGACTTTTTCCATGGCAGGACAGAGAGAGATGGGACATTGGAAACAGGGGGCAGCTTTTATTTCCACACAAATAAACTGTCTTGCCACCCCACAATCCCCCAAGTGTGGGTTCTTGGAATGCTTTCCTGTGATTATGTGGGAGAACCTAATTCCCATCTACAACACTTCCATTGATTTGCTTTTGCAGTTCAGTTGGTCTTCGTGACCTTGGCTTAGACAATGATTGCCTACACATCATATCAACGCACAAGTAACTATACACACACACACACACACACACACACACACATGAATTGTACTCTATAGAAATTAAAAACTTTTTTGCTTTGTAGGACAAAATGATAAATTTACATTTAACTATTTTTCTTTTTTTTGAGAAATTTAAATGGTATTATATTTTAATTTTGGTGTCTATATGTTCATTGCTAGTATATAAAAATGTAATTGATTTTTGTATGGTTATCTTATATCCTGAGATCTCACTGACCTCGCACCTTTGTTTTTAGGTTTGTTTGTGTGGGTTTTTTTTTTGTAATTTCTTTGGTTCTATATAGACAATCATGTCACCTGCAAATGAAATGTTTTTTTTTCTTCTGTTCAAGTCTGAATGCCTTTTATTTTCTTTACTTGCTTTATTGCACTTCTTGAACTTCCAGCACTCTGGTGTTTTTTAAAATATTACTTCTACATATACTTAGAACATTAGACAGTGATTAATCTTAGTCCATTTGAGCTGCTCTAACAAAAATACCATGTAAAATAACCATTTTATTAATTACCAGATCTAGAATTAATTAAAGATCTAGAATAACCAAAATAAATTTGAAAGTGAACATAGTTGGAGAACATATACTATTTAATTTCCAGACATTCTAAAGCTATATTAATGAGGACTATATGGTGCTTGTGTCAAGATAGACAAATACATCAATGGGAAAAATAGAGTCCAGGTATAAGACTCACATATATTTGGTTAATTCATTGTCAATCAAGGTTCCACAGAGACTCACTGGAAGAGTTAGTTGTGGGAACAACTGGACATCCATATGTCAAATATGAGCCTTGACCCTTTTTTTGCAACAAATAAAGTAAATCAACATTGATCACAGACCTAAATCCCTAAAACCTAAAAAATAACTTCTTGAAGAAAACACGAGAGAAAAATCTTTGTGATCTTGAGTTAAAAGAAAAAAGTTATCATAAGAGGATACAAAAAAATTCAACTCAATAGCAAAAACACAATCTGATTGAACAATAGTCAAAGGAACTGAATAGACATTTCCCTGAAGAAGTCATACAAATGGCCAATAGGTACATGAAAAGATGCTCAATGTCACTAATCATCGGGAAAATACAAATTGGAACCACAGCAATATTACTACCTTACACCTTTCAAAATGGCTAGTATCAAAAAGACAAAAGTAAGCCCTGGCTGTGTTGCTCAGTGGATTGAGCACCAGCCTACAAAACAAAAGGTCACCCATTTGATTCCCAGTCAGGGCACATGCCTGGGTTGCAGGCCAGGTCCCCAGTTGGGGGTGTGTGAGAGGCAACTAATCAATGTTCCTCACCCTTTCTTTCTCCCTCACTTCGTATCTTTCTGAAAATAAATAAATAAAATCTTACAAAAAAAGACAAGTGGTAACAAGTGTTGGGGAGGATATAGAAAGATGGGAACACTTGTACCCTGTTGGTGGGAATGTAAATTGATGCAGCTACTGTGGAAGACAGTATGGTGGTTTCTCAAAAAATTAAAAATAGAACCACCATATGATCTGAAGAAAATGAAAACAGGATCTTGAAGAGATACATGCGTTCCTATGTTCATTGCAGTGTTATTCACAATAAATCAAGACATGTAAACAACTTCAGTGTCTATCTGACATTTCTTCTAAGTTATCTTAGTAGTCAGCTTATGGTTAGATAGAGGAAACCTGAAATGCCTTGAAATGCCCAGACTTTTTAAAAAGGCTGTGTGTGTGTGTACTTGGGCACATTCCGGCTTGGTCTTCTCTCTTTCATACCAGGAGTGAAAAAACTGATGGATGGTATTGTCACAGGTGGGCACAGGTAACCAGGTTCTTGGTGATCAGGACAAAGAATTGAACTGAACAACCAGAGTTTATAGCAGAGAACATGGGAGCAGACCAACTCCAAGCAGAGATTGACCTCATGGGCTGTAGGGATTCTATTCTTACAGGGCGGATCCTTTCTACTAGTTTTGGTGGGTTTTTACTGCGCATGTACAAGTAACTGTATTACTTTAAAGCTCCTGTGCATATGGTCTCCCATGACTTTCCCTGATTGGCCACCGGAGAAGAGGTCGCACAGTGTTACCAAATGGATCCCCCCTTCTCCTGGGGTTCCCTGTACTAGATTTGCCTTGCCCGCTGCCAGGGAATTATAGCTCTCCATGTTAGAGATTGGAGAAAAGGAAAGGAATTATTTATTCAAAAGTTACACAGACTTAAAAGTAATGACTTAATATCTTCATTAAAATCCCAAAGTCCCTTAAAACACCCACAAACACACACAGTTCTTCCTTCCCTCCTTTGGCTGGTCTGGGGTACCATATCTCAGAAAAAGAAATGAAGTCCGTGGCTTAGGTAGCCCCCTGCTCTTCCCAGTAATCCGTGCTTGGCTGGCAGGCCTCCCTTGGTTCCCAGCACCACCAGCTATATTGCCAGGATCTCCAGTTCTTAATCCAAAACCACATGGCACCTTCTCATGGCCCACCAGCAAGAGTCCTTTCACCCCCTTCCTCCACACAGTGTCTCTCCTGCATTCTTCAAAACTGCTGAGAGAGAGCTCTGCATTGTTGCTACATCTTGCTTTCCAGCTTCTTAAGCTGCGTGGCAAAGGGAGACCCAAAGCTGCAAGGTTCTCCCCTGCCAAAGCTGTGTGGTTCTTCTCTGCCAAAGTCGCGTGGTGATTCTTGTCATGGCTGCCACACCTAAATTTAAATCCCAGCGCCAATCTTCCTCTGCAGCCCCATTTCTGACTCCTCCCACAATTGGCTACACTTGCCAGCATTCCCACATTTTTCCAGCTTTTCTGGGCAGCCATAGTAAGTCCAGGCAGGCGTGGCCCTGTGGTATGGAGCCAATCATCTCCAAGCTCTCACCCAGGCGTTGTAACCAGGGGGAGCTGCCTCCCAGTTACACCCTGGGTGGAAATTGCTCCCATCTCTCTGGCTCAAAGCATGGCCACAGCAATTTAACATATCTATGAAGCCAATGAAAGGTTATAGATATGTTAAATGACCGTTCTAGAGGTTAGCTGCAAAACTGTTGCTATACAAAACAACTCAATGGCCCTGCTTCATGTGTCCCATCCTCAAGTTCAGACTTATGGGGGTGAGGACATCCCATATTTTTAATATTTCCTGGATACCCTGAGTTCTGGACCCCATTACAAATCCTTCTTTTGGGGGCCTCCTGGCTGCACCCTCTCACAGTATTAACAGAATGGATTCCATTGAGCCACCCTATAGCCAGAAGAGAAAATACAAAATTGTTGAAGCCAATACGTATAATAAGAAAATTGGTTAAAACCCAGATCCAGTAGCATTTCTGGTTGGAATAGGGATAAGCTGCCAGAGTCAAACTCTAGTATGTCCTGGATCAAAGTATAGAAAGTCACCTGTAAGCACTTGCCACTGAAGCAACACTATCTGAAGCCCTGGATTGTCTCTATACCCACTAATCCATTTGGCAACCCTGTCTCTTCCTCCAGGCGGGGTGGATCGGTTTCATGACTGTGGGTTGGGTGAAGACTGAGTGTCTGAGATCATTGCTGATTGCAACTAGAGTGTGATGAAAGATACTAGACAGACTTTTCCCCCTTAAAAAATTTTTTTCTGATAAAAAATTTCTAACTTACTTAAAAGTACAGAAAATAATATGTTGAATCTTAGGTACCCATAACTACACTTGCAGAATTATCAGCAGGATAAGTTCATCATTCTTGTTTCATCTCTTCTTTTTTTCCTAAACTATTTTAAAACAGATCTTTGACATTATGTAATTTCCTCTGTAAATATTTCAGTATATATCTCTAACAAATAAGGCCTTAAAAATAATCACACAAATTATTTCATAGAACAAAGAATAAACTTCCAAATCATTTCATGAGGTCAAGATTACCCTGACATAAAATCTGAAAAAGACGTTATAGGAAAAGAAAAATACAGACTGATATTCCAAACTCACCAGCCTGCCTGTTCCTGGAGTTACTAGCTTGATAGTCACCCTTATCCACAGCAATAATCACATCAGCAATGGCAGCCAGGGATATTCCTATAACCATGTTTTCCTGATGACCCTATGATCTGGGGCCCTTTAAGTCATCAATTTTCATCAGGGAGGTATTGCTGTCATGTTCATGCTCAGCCTTCATTTTCTAGACCCAGGCATCTGCCGTATCAGTAATCATTTCCTTCTTAACTTCACATTTGTGATTGAGTGATTGTGGGCTTATTTAGATGTGCCTCTCTAATGACTTTGATGTTGATGTGGTTCTTTTCATTTCCCATTCGTTTTCTCGGTGGCAAACCATTGGCAAAAAGACCCCTCTCATGAACTGGCTCAAATATCATCTCCTCTGGAAAGTCTCTGAATTCCGTTGGCAGTTAATGATGCCTCCTCTCGGCTTCTGAAGTATGTACTTTGTACATACTCGTTTGTTTGCCTTGTCACGTTACACTGTGATTATTTAATCTGATGTCTCCCTCATCAGATTAAATAGCCAATGGCTAGCATGTTGCTTGGCATAAAGCAGTTAGTTCAGTAACTGTTTGCTGATATTGTACATGAAAGACTGAAAAAAAAATACAAATCTAGAGTTAGTTCTGATCACTTAAGCCAAGAAGAATGTGCCTCTATAGAAAGATAAAATGTCTTACTTTGCACACATAAAGACCAGGAAGATTAAAAAGCCCCCAGGAAAGGATAGGTATATTTTATAATTTCATTTAATAGATACTTGTTATTTTAAAAAAGCTCAAAGAAATCAGTTGTGTTAAAGTAAGAAGAGTCCTCTGAAAAGATGCTGCTAATTTAGACTTCTTCATTAGTGCATCGTGTGCTTATATCCCCTCAGCCTTACCTGTGCTATGCTTAATCTTTGCAAATCTGGTCAGTGAAAAATAGTATTTCAAATTTTTATAAGTATATACTTTAAAAAATAAATACACATAGATCCAATAGAACGTGAGGGAACGATGAAGATGAAATTCAGGATGATGATTATGTCAGGAGGTAGAAGGTGGAATTTTGGGATGTGGCATGGGTAAACAACTCATTGTCCAAGACCTAGATTTTGTTTTTTACAATGAGTTTGCAAGCGCTTATTGCAATATTAAAAGTAAGCTTAATAAAAAGGAGTCACTGACAGACCATGAACCAAAGAGTATGATTAATCCAATTTTGTGAACCTAAAGCCACCCCCACCAAATTTAAACATAATAAAAATATAAATTAAATTAATTAAAGCTACACATATTAACATGGATAACATTCAAAAACATAATGTTGACAGAAAAGAAAAAATGAAAATAGATATTTATGGTGTGATTTTTATGGATGTACATAAACAAAACATGGAAGAGTATTGTTGATGAATTCAGGACAGTGGTTACTTGTGGGAGTTGGGAGAGAGGGGGGATGTGATACAAAAGGCTATATAAACTGTCAGCAGTATCTGTAGTATTTTATTAAAAAACAAACATGACAAAGTACTAAGATTTGACATGTCTGGTCGTGAGCACACAAATGTTCACTTTATTTTTCTCTACACTTTGTGCTGGTATATATTTCATAATTTGAAAGTGAAATAAAGAAGTGATAGTACCAAAAATTACAGATGGGCAACCATGTAAGTATAGCAAATGAAAGTGATAAAAGCAAATGTTTGATGTAGTGTAAGAATACAGAACTTGGCATCTTAATACCTGGGTTTGAGTCTGCTTTCTCGTTATGTGTGTGAGTTTGAATAAGTTACTTAGTTATTAGCTAATGATGTTAAGCCTCAGTTTTCTCTTTGTAAAATGCAATAAAGAGCTTTAATACAGGTTAAGTGTGTGTTCCTCTCAGAGCATATCCAGCACATTATAGGTGTTCACAAAATGTTAGCTGCTATTACATTTGTGCTTTTAAATGGTATCTAAATGGTCAAGATGGCAGCAAGGTAAATACAGCTTGCCTCCTCACACAACCACATCAAAATTACACCTAAAATATAGAACAACCATCACTCAGAACCATCAGAAATAAAGTCGAAGGGAAGTCTGACAACTATGGAAATAAATAAATCACATCCATCCAGACTGGTAGGAGGGGTGGAGGGGTGGAGATGCGGAACAGGCTCATCCCACGTCCACCTGTGGCAGACAAAAATTTGAGAGGGATATCTCAGGTGTGAAGAGTCCCAGCCCCATGCCAGGTCCTTCAGCCCAGGGTTCCAGTGCCAGGAAGATAAGTTTCCCTAACTTCTGGCTGCAAAAACCAGCAGGGACTGAGCCAGTAGAAGAAACTTCTGGAACCCCCAGCAGTTCCTCTTAAAGAATCTACACATGGACTCACCTACTCAGACTCACTCCCCCTAAACCCCAGCACCAGGGCAGCAACTTGAAAAGCTCCAGAGTCATACAGGGAGAAACTGAAGTGGCTGGTATCTAGGTGAGAGCTGGGGGACAGCTTTCTCCCAGACAGAAAGGTGGGCAGAGGCCATTGTCCCTTTTCTGAACCTTCCCCCTACAGAGCCACAGAGGTTGCAGGCTGGTGCCATATCTGAGACTCCATAAACCTGGCTAACACTGTTTGCCCTGCCCTGGAGATTCTCAGAGACTTGGTCCTGCCTAATTTATTAGCCCACCCAAGCTGCTTTTCCACATGAATGTCTGGTCTTGGCTCATGTTTCACTACTTCCTAAACCTCTCAAACAAGCAATAGCCCACCTCAGTGAGCCCCCAGCCCCTGTACCTCTTGCTAAGTTTCCCTAGGCCCAGCATAAATAGCAACTAGCCTAGCTTCAGGGCTCTGTTTTGCCTGGGAATCTCCAAGCCCAGCAGAAGTAACAGCCATCTCAGAATGCTTTACAACTCAGGCAGGATGGCCCTGGGCAAAACACAGGTGGGGGATGACCATTGCCTGCATCATCCCGAAAAACCCGGAGCCTGTGTATCCAGTGGACAACTTTGGACCACATCAGAACATCACCACCCTGCTCCCCACACAGCTGATTGTCCATAGAGGTTGGAGGTTGGTGGTCAGTGGTCACAGCCACTACCTACAGTTTACTGGCCTGGGTAAATCCCTCCCATTGACCTACCAACAGCAGTCAAGGCTCAACTACAAAAGGGAGGTATACTCAGCCTACATGAAGGGCGCACATCAAGTATCCAGCTTGGGTGATAGGGGAGGCTATGCCACTGGACCTTATAGGATACCTACTACATTGGGCTACCTACCAAGACAGGGAGTCAAAGCAGCTCTACCTAATACATAAAAACAAACACAGGAAAGCTGACAAAACTAGGAGACAAAGAAACAGCCCAAATGAAAGAACAGATCAAAACTCCAGAAAAATAACAACAAAATGGAGATATGCAATCTATTATATGCAGAATTCAAAACACTGGTTATAAGGATGCTCAAGGAACTTAGGGAGAACCTCAACAGCATAAAAAATATCCAGTTAGAAATGAAGTATACACTAATTAAAATAAAGAGCAATTTACGGGGAAACAACAATGGAGTGGATGAAGCCAAGAATCAAATAAATGATTTGAAACATAAGGAAGCAAAAAACAACCAATCAGAACAACAAGAAGAAAAAAGAATCCAAAAAAACCCGCCAAGGATAGTGCAAGCAACTTCTGGGACAAGTTCAAGCATTCTAACATTCACACCATAAGAGTGCCATAAAGAGAAGAGAAAGAGTGATAAATTGGAAATCTATTTGAAAAAAGTAATGAAAGAAAACTTCCCTAATTTGGTGAAGGAAATAGATATGCAAGTCCAGGGAGCACAGAGAGTCCCAAACAAGCTGGATGCAAATAGGCCTATGCCAAGACACACCATAATAAAATGCTAAAGCTTAAAGATAAAGAATCTTAATAGCAGCAGAAGAAGTTAGTTACCTACTGGGGAATTCCCATAAGACTGTCAGCTTATTTCTCAAAATAATCTTTGTGGGCCAGAAGGGACTGGCAATTAATATTCAAAATCATGAAAAGCAATGATCTACAGCCAAAATACTCTACCCAGCTGAGCTTTCATTTAGAATCAAAGGGCAGATAAAAACCTTCCCAGAGTATTGTGGTTCGATTTCCAGTCAGGGCACATGCCTGGGTTGCAGGCCAGTTCCCAGCAGAAAACACACGAGAGGCAACCATACATTGATATTTCTCTCCCTATCTCCTTCCCTTACCCTCTAAGTATAAATAAATAAAATCTTTTAAAAAATCTTCCCAGACAAGAAAAAACTCAACGAGTTCATCATCACCAAACCATTATTATATGACATGTTAAAAGGGCTTACTTAAGAAAAAGAACATCAAAACTATGAACAATAAAACAGCAATAAATACATATCTATCAATAATTGAATAAAAAGAGCAAACAAGAATAGAGGCAGAATCATGGATACAGAGAGCATTTTGATTTTTGCCAGATGTGAGGGGGTTCTGGGAGAATGAGTAAAAAGGTGAGAGGATTAAGAAGTACAAATAGGTAGTCACAGAATAGCCATTGCTATGTAAATTACAGTATACAGTATAGAAAATGGAGTAGCCAAGGAACTTATACACAGGACCCATGGACTTGAACAAGGGTGTGAGGATTGCCTGAGGGAGTGGGGGGTTGCAAAATGAAAAAAGGGGGAAAACTGGGACAACTCTAATAGCATAATCAATAAAATATATATTTTACAAAACAGCATTTATTAACCCATACTGATTAGAATAAAAACATACTCAATAGAGCAACAAATTCAAATAAATAAATAAAATCTTTTATTGTAGCAATTGCAAACTGCAATATCTGCAGAGGATGGGTAGCACTGAAAACAGTGCAAGTGGGTGGGGTGTAAGTAGTAATACTGATAGTAATTGGAACTCAGGTGAACAGCAGAGCATACGTGGTGGCCAAAGGAGAAGGAACTCTTTACTCCCATTTAGCGGTTGGGCCAGCATTGTTTGATCTTCTTAGTTTTGAAGGAAAAAAAACTTTTAAAAATAAAAAATTAAAACACACACATTGAAGCCAGTTATAGTCATAGACCAACAGTTTCTTGTCCTCGCTTCAGTG